ACCAGCCACTCCTTGGAAACCAAATGGGGCAGTTTTACTCTGTAGGGTCGCTATGAGTCAGAATCAACACAATGCCATAGAACAACACGTGATGTTAAGGAGTCCCTAGGTGGTGCAAAAGGTTAACGTGCTCAGTTGCTAACTGAGGTTCAAGTTTACCCAGAGATGCCTCGGAAGAAAGGCCTGGTGATCTACTTCTGAAAAATCAGCCATTGAAAACCCTATGGAGCACAGTTTTACTCTGACGCACACGAGGTCACCATGAGTTGGAGTCACACTGTTTGTGTGAGTGTGTTTTATCGTGGTAAAAATATGTATGACACAATATTTGCCAATTCAACAATTTTTACATGCTCAATGACATTATGTTTATCATGTTATGCAACCATTACCACTATCCTTTTCCAAATTATTCTACCGCCATTAATAGAAATTCAGTGCCCCTTAAGCAATGACTCCCCCTTTCCCTCTTCCTCCCATGCCTGGTAACCACTGATAAGCTTTGATCTATACATTTGCTATTTCATATAAGTGGGATCATACAGTATTTTTCCTTTTGTGACTGATTTATTTCACTCAGCATAATGTTTTCAAGATTCATCCATGCTGTAGCATGTATTAGAGCAACTGGGTTTTAGGATAACTGAGAGCCATCATAGGAAGTAGTGACTGGGTGGGGCTACTTTAGAAGGAGGGGTCAGGAAAGACCTCTCTGAGGAGGTAAGACATGGAAGGTGAAGAGGAACCAGTTAAGATATTAAGGCAAGAGCCCAGTGTATGCGGAGGAGCAGAGCCATAGAGGCCTGCGGGTAGGGGAAGATGCACAAACTGGGGTGGGAGAGGGAAGCAGAAGCCAGATCCTTCCAGACCTTCAGTGCATAGAATGGACTGGGAAAAGAAGGGCAAGAGCAAAACCAGGAAGTCTGACACTATCATCACGGGAATCTTTTTTTAATTTTTTTTATTGTGCTTTTTTTTTTCCTGGCTTGTTATTTAGTTATTTTGGTGAAAATATACACAGTTTTATTGTGCTTTAGATGAATGATTACAGAGCAAATTAGTTTCTCATTAAACAATTAATACACATTGTTTTGTGACATTGGTTGTCAACCCCGCGATGTGTCAGTACTCTCCCCTTCTCAACCTTGGGTTCCCCATTTCCATTCGTCCAGCTTTTCTGTCCCCTCCTGCCACCTCGTCCTTTCCCCTGGGCTGGTGTGTCCATTTAGTCTCATATACATGGTTGAACTACGTGTATTATTGTTTGTTTTATGGGCCTGTCTAATCTTTGGCTAAAGGGCAAACCTCAGGAGTGACTTCAGTACTGAGTTAAAAGGGTATCTGGGGGCCATACTCTCGGGGTTTCTCAAGTCTCTGACTAGTAAGTCTAGTTTTTTTTGTGAGAATTTTGTTCTACATTTTTCTCCAGCTCTGTCGGGGCCCTCTGTTGTGATCCCTTTCAGAGCAGTCGATGGTGGTAGCCGGGCACCATCTAGTTGTGCTGGACTCAGTCTGGTGGAGGCTGTGGTAGTTGTGGTCCATTAGTCCTTTGGACTCATCATGGGAATCTTATGAGGCCTCATTAAACTAATAAAGCAAAATCCAACTGTAAAGTCTTCATTGTGCCAGGATTCTGTTTGTTTGCCGAATTATGACTTCTATATAAATGGCAGTATAAACTAAGGTGCAGCCGGTGGTAGATGGACTAGAAATACACTCAATCATCTGTCCGCTCACCTTGAATGTGAAGATTAGGTTAGCTAAATGTCTTTTCCAAGACTAAATTGTGATCCCTCTTTCTTTCACTATGTGATCATGAAAAATGGCTCACTGAAGGCTTTCTGAATAGAGGCATGAAAGGCACAGAAAACACAATTAATTTGCCCAAGATAACAGGATGTCAAGGGAAGAAGACCTGGGATTCACCTGCAGAGCAGGTGTGGACTGGACTCCATGTCTCCCTCTAAAGAGAGAGATTACTTTATTCCAGGGCTTCAAACCAGCTCATTCCAGTTCGAACCCCTGTTGATAGTTTGCATTTCTAAAAAGTTCCCAGGCAATGCTAATACTGCTGGTTAGGGACCAATTCTGAGAACCACTAGTAGAGCAGTGGTTCTGAAAATATACATAAGAATCACTTGGGGATCTTGTTGAACTGTAGATTCTGATTCAGTTTCTCTGGGGTTCAAAGTCTTGCTTTATTCACCTTCGTGCTGCGTTGCACAGGTTGATCCCAATTCATAGCAACCCTATAGGACAGAATAGAACTGCCCATAGGATTTCCAAGGCTGTAATATTTGCAGAAGCAGACTACCACATCTTTCTCCCTTGGAATGGCTTGTGGGCTCGAACTGCGACCTTTCAGTTGGCAGCCGAGCACTTAACCACTGCGTCATCTGGCCTCCTTGCTTGCACAGTGCTTGGTAAACAGTTGTTGTTAGTTGCTGTTAAGTTGATTTAGACTCTTGGAGACCCCATGTGTGCAGAGTAGACTTGCTCCATAGGGTTTTCATGGCTGTGACCTTTCGGAAGCAGACCACCAGGCCTGTCTTGCGAGGGCTCATACTGCCAACATTTCAGCTTAAATTGGGCACGTAACTATTTGCTCCATTCAGGGACTCCAGTAGGAGCTGAATAAGCTTTTTGTTAAATTTGAACTAAGCATGTAGATTAGATCGATGGTAACTGAAAGTATATGAGATTAACTCAGAGAAAGTAGTTGTCTTTGAGATCTTGTGGATGAGTCATACTTCTCCCAGTTCTATTGCTTTCTTTTTCATGTTTCTTGCCTTTGAGCACATCATTTCATTCCTACAACTCCAATTTATGGGTAAACATAGAGAAAGGGAGCAGTTAAACTCAGGCCAATTTTACTTACTTTTGGCAATTAACCGTTAAAAAAAATGTGACAGAGATTGAAATTTATGTCATATAAAAATCAACTTATTTTGGGGGCTTTCTATGTGCATTAGCTTTACATTAACTCCGAACAACCCTAAGAAGTAGCTACTATTACCCCCATTTTAGAGGTGAAGAAACTATTAGGGAGAGGTAAGAAATGTGGCCAACATCACAAGCCAGGAAGTGAGGGAGCTGGAATTCAAACCACGTTTTCTGATTCCTCGGTGGCATTGCTCTTCAATAATTTGGGGGATTTCATTTGTCCTTGCTTCCTTATTTGCCCTGAAAATGTTAAAGTCTGTAGAAAAACAGTAGGAGCTCTGTCAGTAAAACGTGCCTATATATTTTTAAGTGATTAAAGCTGAGAAGTTTCATGTGGCACCAGGCCACTTGTTTAGTGGAAGTAAAGGGACCGCAATCCCAGCTCCCCGCGCAGAAATCCTGTGTGGTCTGTGGTGTCACCGCCCATTTGTGATAGACGCAGCAGAGGGAGTCCGACCCCGGACTGCAATCAGGCAAAGACAGAGCGGGAGCATCTGGGCTGCACCGAGGCAAAACTGGGCCATGGATTCTTGCAGCCAGCATGTCATCTGGTTGGGAAAAGCCACATGTTAGGTTGCAGTGACTATGGGGGAGGGTAGGAAATGCAACATTTTAAATTCGGGGTGAAGGCTGGCTAAACTGACCAACTTGTTAAACCTGAAGGAGGGGACTGTATCTTACGATGAAATCTGAAAAGCTAGCACCCGACCTCAGTGGCCCAGTGAGAGGAGGCAATGTGTATTTGGCTGCGTTCACAGGGACACAAGGTGCTGAAGGCGGTCCAGGAGGTAACCGCCATTCCGGCCCACCTTGTGGCTCGGGTGTGGCCCTAACCAGCAGCCGCTGCCCTTGGTTTCTCCTTCGGCAGGCTTAAATCAAGCGGGTGAGACAATTCCACGTGGGGGAGTAAAGGGGGTTAAAAACAGAGGGAGGCTTGTGAAATCCTGCTTCGCACACGCCTGGGAAACTCTGTGGGAAGAAAACTCGTATAGGCCTTAACTGCGCGACCTGGCACTGGCCCCTGGAAGCCCCCGCAGAGCGGGAAGGCCGCTCGCCGGCGCCACGCAGCCGCAAGAGGCACTGCAGCGTGCCCGCATCCCTTCGC